ATGTTTAATGAACCTACCGAAAACAATTAGTGGGGTTGAATGTTCATATATTCACCCCTTCTTCATTTTCTTGGGTGGGTGAGCGGGCATTCAAATCCTTCTTTGTATTATTTAATTTATTGAACTCAATTGAAATCCTATCCAATCTTGATCAAAAGAGAATGAAAATAAAAATGGTAAATTAGGCATGAGCAAGGGAGGTTTTAACAATTTACCCAAATAAAGTTTGCCACATTTATTGTAATATTTGGAATAGTGGCGGTAAAAAGATGTCTAAGCGACTGAAAAATAAATGCTAGGGATATGTGAATTGTTCGGAGATGATAAAATCTAAATTATTGGTGAAAATTCCTAAATTAGTAGTTATGAAAGGAAACTCTTAATAAAAGGAAAAGGGTTATAATGAGGTGGCGACTTGAATGAGGAGAAGCACTAAAAATGTAAAATGGGGGTAAAAGAGAAACGTGAGCCCGTATGATGTGGCCTTTTTTGTTCTAATATCTACTAATTGACAATGGATATAATGGGGGATATTACAAACATTAACTAACTATTGAACAATAAAACAAATGTTGAAGGGGGATTAAAAATGATTTTATTAGAGATAAGTAATAATAGGGTTTAATATAAAACTTATAGCATAAGAGGATTCCATGAGACAACATAAGAGGATTTTTAATATTTTACACATGTGTGAAAGAGGGAAGGCAAGATTAAGTGTGAGGCTTGTGGTTTGGCACCCTTAGCCTCCACATATTCCTCTTACTATTATAGAAAAAAATTGAGTGAACTTGCTTACAATATGATCTATGTCTTCAACCGTGGTGTCATGAATGATGATGGCTTGAAACATCTATTAATAACGTGATGTTATATCACTTATATGTTTAGGGATGTCAATGGGTTGAGTTCAATATGGGTTTGCCTCATCCCTAATCCAACTTAACTTGACTCAAAATGATAATTTTTTATCCCGTCCCAACCTTATAGGGTCTAACTCAATATTGATCGGACTCAACCCATAACATTTAATTTGGACCTGACCAATTTCGTTTTACCCTAAAATTGTTATTTGGCCAAAAACCATTGATTTTGGTCAATGAATTATTGACCCAAGCGGTTGAACCGTTGAACTATTCGGCTGAGAAACGGTTTTTGGCCGCTTTTTGGGTTGTTTGTTTTTTAATATTTTTTTTGTTAATGTGGGCCTTTCATTCGGGCCAGACGATTAGACCGTTTGACCTAAGAATTGGACTATAGAATGGTTACTTATTCGATCCAATTAAAAAACAAAAAAACTTGATCAAAACCCAAACCTAACCCTAAAATGCCTAACCCTAACTTGATGCTATAAGGCCTAATCAAGCCAAGTTTACTCACAACAAAAACTGTCACAACATAGTTGTAACGCCATTTGTACATCTCACCATGAGACTGTGACCCATAGCAATAAGACCAACATGTGTGCGATGTGCAAATACGGATCATGTTCAAACTTTAAACAGAGTTGTGAGCAGGTTACTTATTTATTTATTTGGATGAGGACTAAGGAGAGTTGTGAGCAGATTGAGACTTGGTAATAGAAGGATTTTGTTGTTGTTGGAAGATATGCCCACCAGTTATGTGATATTTTACCGTTAACAACATAAGGGAAAAATTAGAATTTAGAAACTATAAAAGATGCATTGTTAGTAACTGGAAGATTTTGTTCCCGTTGGAAGATACATTAGTTAGTTACGTGATCTTTAACGCTAACGGCATGGGGGAAAATTAGAATTTAGAAACTATAAAATAAGCATTGTCAGTAAAAAAAAATATTTTGTTGCCATTGGAAGATACAGTAGTCAGTTACGTGATCTTTAACGCTAACGGCACAAGGGAAGAAATTAGAATTTAGAAGCTAGGAATTAAAGAAACATTACAAAAGGATGAAACCATAGCGCTCTGTAGAAATTATTAACGATTTCCATCGTTGTTGTCTTCCTCGCATGTTCCTTATCTCTTTGTCTCTCCCATCTCTTTCTATATCTCTCCTCATATGATGCGGTTGTCTTTCATTACAGAGTTCGATAAGAAGATCCATCATCAAATGCAAACGAAACTAGGGTTATAACATTGCAGACATGATGCGAAGAAAGAGAGTAGGGTTTTCTAACTTTCTAAAACTTTCAAGCTTTTTATAGTTAATGGTTTTCTAGAATTGAAGAGAGTGGGGTTTTCTAACTTTCTAAAACGTTCAATTTTCGTGGGTTTTAGATTTCATAGAAAGTCTCAAGTCTCAACGATGGTCAAGGTGAGTGAGACAAATCATTTTTCTTTTCGTTTCCCGCTATAAAGAACGTGGGTTGCAAGTATTCGTTTCGGTTAGAAGAAGTATCTAACAGTCAAGGGAATGAAATCCTCCCTCCGGGTCTTTATCACTAAGAACCACCACGTGTTTGCCACTTGCTTGGCTACTATTGTTCGTAGGATGTGTAAAAATAGCCCCACTATACAGACGACTGACGAGGAAGCCTCATAATATGGGATCATCTATTTACGCTCAAGGTTTTTAGATATGTACCTAAAGACAATAACTAGAGATTCCAATCTAAGGGTAACTTTAAGAATCCTACATCATGGCCGTGGATGTTCGTCCTATTAGCTCAAGTAGTCTTCCACATCCCTTAATAAATACTCAACACATTGACACATGTATATGTAAATACAAAGCTTTTTAAGTTGGTGCCCTTTTTGTTTTATTTTATTTTATTTTTTTGTTTTTGTATTAGTAGAACAATAGAAGTGATTGTTCCCTCGAAGAGAAAAGGATAATGGAAGACGGAGGTGGAGACAAGTTGAGCATCGTGATCAGTCTGATCGAGTATAAAGAAGATGAGGTATCGTATTTGATCCAAGATCTCATCGTCTTTCTTGCTTTAATCTTCTTTTGTGATCTTATCAAGGTTGAAGATTTTTGAAACACAACTATTTTTTTCTTCTTTTGTGATCTCATCTTTGTCTTTCTTCCTTCTATAGCTTATCGAGTATGAACCTGTGTTCCTACTGCAACCTTTGGCCGAAAATGTTACTTAGTTTCGAAATTTGGAAATGAAAATCGCTATTTGCTTTATTTTCATTCTCAGCGCCATTAACTTGGACTTCAGAGGACTAAGATTAACGGTTCGAAACTTGACTGAAGGGATTAAACTTAATGATCCAGAAATCTATGAACTACGAGAAATTACCTCTAATTTAAATTGAGCAAACGAATCTCTATTATATACTTCTTACCAGTAGACAATGAGTCTTATATTTTGATTAATGCAATTCTTGTGTCCACCTATCCTAAAAGGCATTGGATTACCATTACTATTACCATCAAAATCCATTTCCAGCCATCCATTCTTTCATGATTTCCTTTTGCTCCTTATTTTCTTACTCTTTTGGTTGAGGAGGCAGCAATTGCAACCTATTTTTTTGTGAATATCATCGATAATGAAATCTAAGAACAAGTACATTGTTATTAACAGGGGTGTAAACGGATCGAATTCAAATCGGATCATACAATATCCGAATTCGAATCCTATTAGAAAATTCGATATCCAACGAATATTGAAAATTAATATATAAAATTGAATCCGATTAAATATTCGAATATTCGATTCGAATTTGATTACTTAATTATTTTAGATAATTAATAAATATATAAAATAAATATTTTATTGATATAAGGTATATAAATATATAAATTATTTATATAACTTAATTATTATATAAAATATTTCATATATTATGTATAAAAATTAAATAATAAGTTAATTTTGGATATTTATCGAATTGAATTATGTCATATCCGAATTATAATTCGATTAACTATTCAGTAAGAATAGGATATCCGAATTTGACCGATTGGATATCCGAATGATCCAAATTCAATTCGATTATATCGAATATCGGAATTTGAAATTCGGATTTTTGAATACCATTGACACCCCTAATTCTTAAACAATGTGCCTCTCTTACTGTAATGCTTTTTATTAAAGCATCTTTGCTTCTTTGTTTTCCCTTGATAATTTGTGCACTTCTCTCCTTCCATTTTGTTAAAATCATAGTAGCTATTGTACACCTCAACACTATAGTCTTATTTTCTTTGACAACCTGAGTGTCAGCACCTCATTTTTGTTTGATTTGCCACCTAAAACCTTCATTTTCCCCAAACACCCAATCAAACTCATCCAACTTCTTTGAAACACCCAAAAACCCAAAAAACCCGAATTTAATCCTGAGAACCCTATATATACCATTAAAGTTTCCTAATATATATCTGATGGCCCCAATCGACCCTCACTTACACCTAAACCATTAGATCAGATGCAACCATCAGACCTAGGACCTCCAAAAACACATACCCATGAAATTTGAACTCAAGATTCCTCCGTTCACCCATCCATCAAACAAGGATTCTATTTCAACCATTACGACACCCACAACCCATATTCACTTGATCCGAACACATCTAAACCAATCAAACCTTTATAATCACCCCAGAATACCAGAAAAATCCTTCATATAAAATTTCAGCCCATAACACCTCCATTTACCCTCAATCATGCCAAGATTCCATTTCAAGGTTCCAAAATATCTGGATTACAAATCTGTCTGATCCGAGCCCACTTGGGCCAATCGGACCACACCAATCAATTCAGGATATCCGGAAATCCCACCCTATAAAATTTCAGCCAAAAATACATTCATTAACCCATCAATCCAAAAATATTCCATTTCAGTCAATCCTATTACTCCACAAACACAAACCCACTCCCTGTGGTCGGTTCCATCTCAACCCTTCCTTGCCACTCAAAAATTTCCACCCTTGAACCAGACCCCTCCGTTCAGTCTCCTAGACCGGTTCTGACCGGGTTCGCGAAATTTCAAATTACCCGTAAATTTGGTAAAAATCGCAAAAGCACCTCTGCATTCAATATAAAAATGATTGAAACCTTAGGGTTAATGAAGCGAGTTCACATCTCCGCGCGACAAGGAGCCGCCCCACAAACGCCACGGAGATGTTCACAATATACGGCGGGATGTGCTGTGGGGTGGCTCATTGTGGGACGGAGATGTGATCTCGCGGCGGATCTGCACTCATCTCCGGGTAAGGGTAAACGAAGGAACCCACTATTCACCCTCGACCAAATAGAGCGGCGGCTGGGAAGAGAATCGGCGGATCTAAACCCATCTCCGCTCTCTCTCTCCCGCTCTCTCTCCCAGATCCTCTTCTTCTCTCTTCTCCTTCTTCTTCCCCTCTTCCCCCGTTGTCTCTCTCGTTCCGTTTCGTCACCGCCGCCGGTAGATCTGCCCGTCCCCTCTCGAATCTCTCTCAGTATTCTCTCTCTTTCTTCTTTTTCTTCTTCGTTTTTCGTCTCCACTACTCTGTCACCATCGAACCGGAAATGACGAGAGCGGCGGCGGCGTACCAGACTACCAGTGGTAGTCTCCTCCATTCCTGCCCATTCTCTCCTTTTTCCCTCACGTTCTCTCTCTCTTTTTTTTTTCATCCTGACCGTCCCCTATTTTCTACCAAACTGTAACCGAACAACCTCCTGCTCGTCTTCTCCTCTCTTGACGCAATGGTGGGCGGTGGTTATTAGCGGCGACGGCGGTTCTTCCCTTCCCTATTTCCCATCGCCAATCGAGCAGAAGATGACAGATGATGAATAACAAACTCCCCGTTTGATGTCTTAGTCCGGTTAGCCGTCGAGCAACACCGTCATCTTTCAAGGAAAGTTTCACCTAGTGTCGGCTATCCCCTGTTGATAGAATCGGTTCTTTACGTCTCCCCACTGAACTTTGCCAAACATCATCGGAATTATCGCCTCCAATCACTATTGTCGTCTCAAGGTCCAACGATTGTTTCTTCTTGTCATCCTTCCCATTTGCTACAATCGATCTCAGTCTAAGGCCAAAATCCAATCAGGTAATTCTATCATTGCTCCCCCATTGTGTGATTTTCTTCATCTATTTTCTGGGTTTTATCGTCTTGAATCATGATATCTTTTGCATCTGAGGAGAGGGAAAGCTTACGGATCCGGTGATGAAGTTCCACCGAACTGGCTCCTGTAAGCTCTGGACTCTCACCCAATCCCGTGTTTTATCATTTTCAAATGGATTTGTTTTAAACCTGCTAATTGAGTAGAGATTGAATGATTCATTTATGTCTTCTTTGGCTAGTTCTCTCTGTAAAGTGTCAGCTAATTAGTGTTCATTTTCTTTCTGTTCTTTGTGACTCGTTGATTTGTTGTTCCTAGTTATTTTAGAAAGTTCTGCAATTAGATTATGTATGCAATCGTTTCATTTGGTTCTGCTTGATTTGCTACACGACTGCATTCTGATTTTGTTAGAAAAATCTGGAGGGATAATATATTAGGAAGGATTGCTTTTCTCTGTAGCTTGAAAAATGAAAGGGTAGGGGTGATCAGTTACAAAGAGCATTTAGATCTAAAAAATCAAAAACAAAAGCAAAATAATAAAATAAAAAATAAAAAATAAAAAATAGTGTTTTTTTTGTTATTTATTTATCCTTAGATTTACTTTCTTTCTTATCTTCCTTGATTAGTCATGAATTTGTGATTATGTTTATTGGAATCACCATGTGGGCCCACTTATTCTACCTGGGAGAGGGGTGCCTAACCCCTTCCCTCTCCCATCTAAGACCTACCCGGACTGGTTAGCTGGTGCCTCGGGCTATTGGGGTCACTATTGAGCCAAACTGATTTTAATGCCATTCTTGGAAGTCCCATCACCTCCATTTCCTTAATTGATGGGTGGCGACTCCACTTTCAGCCCAAGTGGCAAATGAGACGTTTTCTGACGCTCAAACCGAGTGTGGAACCACCAAACAACTTTTAAAACTAGCAGGGAGGTACCACTCACATGCAAGAGGGCCCAGAACTTCTGCCAAATTCAATAGACAGACAGATTTGAGATTAGTAAGTTGCAAGCGTCTCTTCATTAGATTTGCACATAATATGGCAATTAATAGATAAATACTTGTTGGGTTTCTTGCTTAATTTGTAATAATAACGTCATTAAATATCCCATGATAGACTTCCTAGTAGACGAAACTAATTTTCACAGGGATTAGAACACACAAATTTCCCATCATAAAATAGGACAACTGGAAGGACTAGACGAAATTAAAGATTTTAAAAAGGTACAAGAAAATTAGCTGGTAAGATAGGGACCTAGAAACGATGGCCCGATCTCATTGAAACAAGAGGAATTTTAGAATCGCTAAGGTTTTTTCTAAACCCAGAGTTCTGTCCAAAGCCCGGAGGGGATGAGGAGATAGCAAACTCAGAAATGAATTTACTTTTAAGAGAGGATAGGTAAAGAGTGAGGGGTAAATATCTTTTAACGGAGACTCCCCACACAAGGGTCTTCCCAAAATCTGATTTTGTTGCCAAAGAAAAGGTCATCCCTGATTATATCAAGGTAGAATGGGAGGATATTGTTGATGGATTTCCATGGAGTGAGGCATAGTAGCTCTATGTGATAGTCTAGTATCCCAACCATTATTCATGAGATATGGTTTTCCGAGAGAATGGTTGGGATGCTGTTGTTCTACGCAAAGCTATCCTTGCTTCTCCTTGGATGGCTAATACATTTCCCATGCTTCTTAATCACATTGGGTATGATATCTCTTTYGGGAATAAGATTAAATTCTGGAAGTATCTCTAGCATGGGGAGTCCCCTATGAAAGATGTGTTTCCTTCTCTCTGTGCATATCTGATCTTAAGACTAAACAAACTTTGAGTTTGTTCTTTCTTCTTCTTCGTCCCTTGGTTTTGATTAGAATTTGGGTTTTAGGAGAAATTTTAGAGAGCCTATTTTTTTTTTTTTTGTTTCTAATCTTTTGGGTTCCTAACTCTACGGGTAAGTTCTCTTGTGGTTCCTTTTTTAATATGTTTATCAAGGTCAGTCCCCTTCTAGGTCCTTTCTTGTGAAGGGAGTCTAGTGTGCATCAATTCCCTCAAAAGTTCGTACTTTTTATTAGGTATTCTTTCATGGTAGCATCAACACTTGTGACATGTTGCAAAAACGGAGATCTGGCTAGCCTATATTTCCTAATTGATACATCATGTGAAAATTGATTGGTGAGATTGCTTGCCTCTTATTAATCTCTTGCCCATTGGCTTGTATTTTAAATTGATTCTTGCTTTTTTTGGTTGTAAGTGGGATCCTGCTGTTAACATGGATAGATTGTTTGACTCCTCTATAGTAGATGCTTGAAGGAGGTGGATGTTAATTGGAGCTTTAGGAATGAAATAATGTGCTTCAAATTGTACTCAAAGGATATGCAGATTGAAATTAAATGGGTTCAAATATCAGTTAATGGCTTGGCTTATTGCCTGGCTAACTAGGGATTTAATACACAACTACTTTTTTTTTGAATTTAGTGTAATGTAAAATGTATTGGTAGGTGGGATAGTTGAGGGTGTCAGTATATCTCATTGTTTGTAGTCACAACCTCTTGTAGTACCTTGTTTGTAGTCACAACCTCTTGTATATCTCCTTGTTTACTGTTTTTGGAATTTCTCAAAGGTTTATATGTAGCTGTTGTAGTTTAATGTCTGGAAGCCAAGGAGCCATCTGCACTTGGTTTAGACACCTATTAGAGGCGATATTATTTCTGCTTGGCTGACGCTGCAGCTACAATCAACTGGAACTCTATATATTGGATCTTTTGTTATA